AAGAGTAAATTGTTATTTTAATCGGTCTAAAATGAAAATAGATTAAGAAATTATTCCCAAACCAATCTCATTTTCGTTTTAATTGATCAATTTGTTGATGTTGTTGTTTTTGTGTGACAGACATCGCAGGATTCCTGATCCTTATCCCTCAATATCGTTTGTTTGGGTGCACTCGTTTCGGCCTCCATGGCCAGCCAAGGCCGGCTGCCAGTCAGCTGATAATCGAGTAGGTCTAGTATGTCGAGTATGTCGAGTAATTTATGTCTAAATATATATACAGGGTGATCCAAAAGTCCCTTCCACCCCCTCTAACTTTTTACCTAATTGAGGTAAAGATTTGAAACTTGGGGGATATTCCTAGGTCAAAGGGAGCTACTTTTTGGCCCCCCTAAAATTTTCAGGGGGGCCCCCCTTGGGGGGGCAACGGCCCCCAACTTTTAATTTTCAAATGGGAAGACCCCCTTTGTGATAGCTCGTTCGAAAGAGCATAAAAAAAGAAAACTTTTCGCGCAAACCCGAAGTCAATATCTCAAACCGTTTCAAAATGGCGGCCGGTTAAAGTTCAAAATGGCCGAAAATTCACACCGGTTATTTGTCGATGGATTTGCGCGAAAATCGGTATGTAGGGGTATTTTGACACGAGAAAAACGAATTTGACGTTAGATTTTCAAAAAAACCGAAATTTCCAAAATGGCCGCCGGTTAAAGTTTAAAATGGCCGAAAATTGTCACCTCGGTTTTTTGCTGATGGATTTGCCTTAAACTTGGAATTTGAGAGTATTTTGGCATAAGATAAACAAATTTGAACTTAGATTTCTAAAAAAATCAATTTTTGGTCATTTTGAACTTTAACCGGCGGCCATTTTGGAAATTTCGGTTTTTTTGAAAATCTAACGTCAAATTCGTTTTTCTCGTGTCAAAATACCCCTACATACCGATTTTCGCGCAAATCCATCGACAAATAACCGGTGTGAATTTTCGGCCATTTTGAACTTTAACCGGCCGCCATTTTGAAACGGTTTGAGATATTGACTTCGGGTTTGCGCGAAAAGTTTTCTTTTTTTATGCTCTTTCGAACGAGCTATCACAAAGGGGGTCTTCCCATTTGAAAATTTAAAGTTGGGGGCCGTTGCCCCCCCAAGGGGGCCCCTGAAAATTTTAGGGGGGCTAAAAAGTAGCTCTCTTTGACCTAGAAATATCCCCCAAGTTTCAAATCTTTACCTCAATTAGGTAAAAAGTTAGAGGGGGTGGAAGGGACTTTTGGATCACCCTGTATGTATTTAACTCTGGGTATAAAGTCGTAATGTAAATGGAAGAGCTGGCGCCATGTTCTGCTCGACGAATTCCGAGCCCGGTGTGCACCGAGTTCGGGTCACTTTTTCGATACATTTTCGATCCAAAATGGCGGTGTGGAATACGTGGTGATTCCAGGGACCAGTTCTATATGTAGAACTGGTCCCTGGTGATTCCTATCTCCTTTGTTGTTGTTGTTGTTGTTGTTGTTGTCATCGGATGGTCGGGTACCCGTACGTGAATCGCAAACAATCGATTATGTATCGAAAAAGTGATCCGGCGTCACACTAGAGTCCCTTTATACTGAGAGTCAAGACAATTTGAATCCATTTCTGATTGGTTCCCGTATTTTAGGCCTCCACAGTGTCACAAACGGGAATAAAGATTACATTTTCACCAATTGCAAAGATTATAATCTGGAATGGACCAGGGAATTACGGGTTCGGCAAGGAACAAACGGAATGAGAGGAGGAACGGAGAAAGGCATTTGCACAGATTAGTCCAGATCGCTAACATCCAATCTAGCCAATGCTTCAGAAGCGTGAATAATTTTGCTACAGGTCAGGCAACTTTAGAAAATTGATGGCACTACCAGTAGTGAAAGAACTTGACCGGATCGAGAGAAATTTTCTATTGAATCTGATCATAAAGCTTGAAAAAATATAAATAGTAATGTGTAATAATGGTTTTTGATCAAATAAGATTTTATCAAGTACTGTTATGCTAAGTATTTTGTTTCAATATTCTTACAACAGTTGGTAGCAATTAACTGCTCTCATGGGGGCCTGGCGGGAATTCAAAACTAGGAACCAAAAGTCTCATTTTGGCAGGATTTTGCTTTAATTTTCGGTTTCTAAGGCTTTAAACTTCAAAAATATGATATATTATAATCTGCAAATTTTTTCAATAATGTTATCTACTCAGTATACTGATGAACTCTGATTTGTTAATTTCCACCGATAAAGCACAAAAACATAGCCCGATTATACGAATAAAGAAGGAGAATTAATTAAAATACGGGTAAACAAGGCTAAAAATTATTGAAACACTTAAAGGCAGGACGTTTCGAGCTGCTACCAGCTCATTTTCAGCTGCAAAAACACATAAAAACAAGTAAAAAATTGAGTGGCGACCTGACCCCAGCCGTTATTATGAGTGGTTACGTGATAACGGCTGAGGTCAGGTCGCCACTCAATTTTTTACTTGTTTTTATGTGTTTTTGCAGCTGAAAATGAGCTGGAAGCAGCTCGAAACGTCTTACCTTTTAGTGTTTCAATAATTTTTAGCCTTGTTTACTCGTATTTTAATTAATTCTCCTTCTTTATTTATTTCCACCTTAATTATTTAATCTGGAAATATTGAACCACATAAATTCTACTGAGAAACTAATTCTTGAATTCTTCGGAACGTTTCATCCCACAAAAATCTGAAAAAGAAGTATTCTCCCGCCGAAAATCTGCTAAAAATAGCCAAAATTTCAGTTTTGGTTCCCAGTTTTAAATGCTCATGGATTTTCCCGCCAATGGCGCTCACAAAACTACTCACGCTCCTCCGCCGATGTTAGCGATCTGGACTAATCTGTGGGCATTTGAGAATGGGCCGATCAAAGATTACGAAAAACGTTCAATTTCTGTAATCTTTATTCCCGTTTGTGACATCCATGAGCCGAATTGTCTTGACTCTCAGTGAAGGGACTCTACGTCACACTAGAGTCCCTTTATACCCAGAGTTACGACAACTCACTTTTGGTTGGGCCAGGATTGGGCTGAAAGTGGCCTAAAAAAAAATCCAATTCTGATTGGTTCTCGCTCGTGGAGGCCGAAACGAGTGCACCAAGATGGCGGTACCTCGAATGTGAACAAGAATAATGAAAACATTACCTAATTGTGGTTCATCAAGAGTAAATTATTATTTCCATCGATCCAAAATGAAAATAGATTAAGAAATGATTCACAAACCAATCTCATTTTCTTTTTAATTGATCAATTTGTTGATGTTGTTGTTTTTGTGTGACAGACATCGCAGGATTCCTGATCCTTATCCCTCAATATCGTTCATTTGGGTGCACTCGTTTCGGCCTCCATGGCCAGCCAAGGCCGGCTGCCAGTCAGCTGATAATCGAGTTGTCGTAACTCTGGGTATAAAGGGACTCTACGTCACACAGGAGTCTCGGAATTCGGGACATGGAAAATGCTTAAAAGTGGCGCCAGCTCTCCCTCGTACATTACGACTCTATGTACTCTATTCTAATCAACGGTAATCAACGGTACTCCCTAGAGTACCTATATTGAGAGAGTATGGCCACTGGGTCCCATGGAGAGGCTTAGGACCCAAAAATGGCGGTGCTTTGTTTTGGTTTTTGAGGATGGGAGGGGGGTCATTGCCAACTTTTGACGGTTATCACCAACCGCACTTGCTGCCAACCTTACTACATCTAAGATCATTTTTCTCAAAAATTGCACACGATTAGCCTTAAAAATATGTAAAAAAGTCGCAATAGTGCATTTGGGTAAAGTTCTCGTTACGATAAGCAAAGACAACTACATTTTGAATCATTTTGCATTACATTAACTTTATGGCGTCCGCCATTTTTGGGTCCTAAGGGCTCCATTCAGCCTAAGATGGCTGAGCCAATCAGAGGTGGTAACTCCAGTGGCCATACTCTCTCTTAATATAGGTACTCTAGTACTCCCTACGCAGTTCGGTACTCGGGCTTCTTAATTTAAACTTATTTAGAAGAACATACGATGCCTGTAATCAATCACAAACACTACAAACACATTTTGAATGAAATTTACTTTGCCGAGATGGTTTCCGGAGTTCACGTTGCATTCATGAGATGTACTTTTTTTTAAATAGCGCGCCAGTCTATGTACTTTTCTACGTCACAGCCAATCTTCAAGATGGCTGTCTTTCCACCACGCACCACCTTTTCTCTATGCAGCTCAACGAACTACACCTCTAGAATGGCCGCGAGATAGCAAACCTGCGTAACGCGCAAGGGCCGGTTTTTGAAGGCAGGAGGGGGGTGGGAGCCCAAGTATAGCTAACCTCAATCTCCATTTCTGCTGCGTCTTGCCCAAAGACATAAAGACGGAGCACTAAAAGCAAAAAATGAAGCTTCTAGCGCTTCTTTTCAATCACCTCTACTATTGGCTAGAGGATTGGCGGCGAAATCGGGACAAGTTTGAATTCAAATGTAGGGCGGGAACTAATAAATAAAATTGCGGAAACAAAGTATTTTAGGTTGATTTTTGCCCAAATTCAGGTACACATTCATATTTTATTAACTTTAGGTTAGTTTCGGTCCGTCGTCGACCGACTGATTTCATTTGGGAGTAACGTAGATCTAGAACTGTAACGGCCTGTTTGAACCTGCAGAACCACCATAAGCAGAAGAAAAACNGCAGCCTGCTGTGTGAGCCCAAGTAAACCTAACCTATATCAACTTCAAAACGTTCCAGGTCTCTAACACTGGTCGGCCATTCTAGAGGTGTAGTTCGTTGATGCAGCTGGCTGGGACCATCTGGGACCAAGGCGGATAAAGAATGGTGGTCGCATTTCGTACCCTCTGGACGTCACACGGTATCGGGTACATCGGGTACATGGGCTGGCCGAGGCCGGGGGGGGCCGACTCAACCTCGGATTGCACGGCAAAACCCGAACCCTCTTGACGTCACAACGCTTCAAGATGGCAGCCAAAATCGAAATGCGACCACCATTCTTTATCCGCCTTGATCTGGGACTGCGAGCGATCCCGAACTCTCTCAAATCCTGACTCAATATGGTGATCAAATACTCTTATTTTCTGTTCGTGATTCTAGCTTTTGCAAGCCGTAACACATGCAGTGCTATTGTTATTAAGAAGTTTCCATTTCTGATGCCAAATATTCATCCGTTCATCGTGAGTATTTCTCTTCTCTTTTTGTTGTAAGTCGGTGTGAGTTGTGAGTGGGCATTTAAAGGAAGAATCTTTCTCTCTTTACAATCAGTGTATACATATTGTTTAATTCAACAACAATTCAGCTTTACCTCATGTTTCCTTTAAATTCCTTGACAATCAGACTCAGTTCTCTGTATGTCACAACTGTATCTGAATTCAGCTATGATGAATGGAAATTCAAATCGAGTGAGCGTCATCGGATGTTGCTAAAGTTGTTGTGCATGGCATTTCCCATTGTGAAAGAACCTAACTTCGCATCATCGATTTAGTATGGGGAAATTTTCTCCTAATTTTGGTTTCATTTTCATTGCAAGAACTGTGTACTTAGATCAGGTTACTGAAGTCGTATGAATGGCTGAAAACAGTCGCACAATCCTAGAGGTGTTGTCAGATAAGTTGGCATTTGTTTACTTTTGGTTTGCAAGCGCATACGACATATTTAAGCCTCTGCACAGACCGTCGTTTGCTATTATTCACCTTAAAAACATCCGCTTATGATGGTATATTTCTAAAACTATTCATCAGTTATGATCTGTGTTTGATATGTGGTTGTGATTTCTGTGTGGTTGAAAATTGAAGTGTTGCAAGGTTTAAAGAAGTAAAAAACTTATTTAAGCTCATGTTCTTGCTTCTGCAAGAGTCAGAGGTTTTCATGTGGATAGTAATGACGCACAAATGCTTCAGAGATAAGTGGAGTTGGCGCATGCCCCTATCTAGCCATTGGATTGACTGAGGCAAATTATAATCTCGCAGATGGAATGAAACAACAGTCATCACCTTCCCCGACTTTGCCTGTGGGGACTGATGAATTTCGGATGTTTCGTGGCGCTTGATGAAAATTTTTGTCTCTATGATGTTCAGCGTGTTTCCTCAAGCGAGAGTTAGGTGAAGTGTGTTTTTCTTTTCTTCAAAAGACTGCTAGTCCATGGCTGAGCATTGACCGAATGTTTAAATGTAATGCAAAAAGTAATGTAATGTTTAATCGGAATGCATTCTGGGGCTCAGGTGACACATAAGTTGAGGCAATGCTGTAACTTGCAATGAGATTGAAGTTCATTCATGTGGACATAACTCAAAAATCTATGTAGCCCATAGTATGAGATGAGGTGCAAGGTCCTCATCTCTCAGTTGGTGTTGAGGATTGGCAATGTTCCTTCTCTCCGCAACCAGTTGTACAAAGAAACAAAGTTCCCCTCCCTGCGCTTCAGGTTACTGATAAGTGTATATTGCAGTCAGAGAACACAGTATTTTTCTTGCAGCGCCCAAACAATACATTTTCCTCATTTGACGGCTGATGAGAGTTCATGATGTGAGCGACTGCACAGCATAATCGACCAGATTATTCAGGACATCACCACACTTCTCCAGAACTCTTGTTGTTTATAAGATTAATGGGCTCCATTAATTAAAGTGTAACATTGTTGTGGAAAAGCACGTCGATAATAATCAGTCGAAGCATCATTAATTATCTAGAACAACGGCTTCTCCGGAAACTCGCTGGATTTTCATCAGGTTAGGTCTAAAAGGATTTTCAAGAAGTAAACTTCATCTTCCAGGGTGCGAAATTGGAAAAAACTTACGTACAGGAAGAATAAGAAAATGCAGTTCAAGAGAAGTGATTCGGAAAGTGGATCATAAGTTTTGCTGTGTGGTCAAAGAGAGTAGCAATCACGACCGATTTTTTGAAATGGAGTTTCCTAAAAATTTCACGTATCTGATTTAAAACTCTCTAGTTCTGAGACAAAAAAATTGTTTTATTTGTATATAACATCGGATACACATGAGAAAATAGTACGTTAGGGTGTAGCTTATTTTTGAGTTTTGCGAAAATCAAGTTGGTCAACCCCTAAAAAGTTTCTATGTAGTCTCTAAATGAACCTCCGAAAAGGAAAAAAATTTTAAAAAATTTTAACCCGTGCCTCAAAGGGCCTAAAGAGCCTAAACCCAAAATTCAAAAATTTTGGCAAACGACATATCAATTCTGAAGGAAAATTGCAAGTTACGGGCCTTAGGGCGGAAATTTCGTCCGTTTTGGCGTATCTTGAAGCGTAAGTTCACAAACGGCCCAATGACGACGTGAGGCTAGGGGCGCGCCGCGGCCGCTGAGCGCGCGCGCGGGGCAGGGTTGCGCATCGCCGCATTACACCGGCGTAGAGGAACGGACGGTAGGGTGGGAGGGGGATATCCGGTGGAAAAGCATCCACATTTTCAATCCATAATGATAATGCATTATACTTTTTCAATATAGATGAGGAAATATGAGCCATACAAGGAAGTGATGGAAAGAGTGACAAATACATAAGTAGTTTGTACGATTAGGAGCGTAAGTGGGGAAACTTTGCCGTAACCACAGAACAGCCCTGAAAATCTCTGGGAAATAAAAACTGCTATTGTCAACATACCTGTTGATCATCAAAACAGAAAATTCTCACCTACCGGAGGTACCGGAAACCACTGGTATTTGACTAATTAAAAAGATATGTGCGATGTTGTCGAATAGTAAACCTTTTACGTGATCAAATGCGATTAGTGTAAATTTAATTGGAAAAGTTGAAGAAAAATTTGATGAAAGAAAATTGCCCTAAATTCGGGAAGTGTTCCAAGTGTTTTTGTACCATGTGAAGTGTTTGCACAATGCACATGAATGTCAACAGCAGTGCGTGGAAAACCTCTGATCTGGTAATTCCAATATGGAATGAAAAATGTAGAATCCCTGATAGTGTCCATGTTAACCCTCCTTTTTACTAGAGCATTTGACAAGGCATCAATGGGAAAGTTTTATTCGAGTGGTTCAATCTGGCTTACCCACTTACATTTTCTGGTATTACAATCCCACCACCACAGCCCCCCCCCCCCCCCCCCCCCCCCCCACAATTACTTGCTGTTATCAAAAATGTAATATTAGCTGATCGGAAAAATATGGTTAACGTCAGGAATTGACCTCCGCTCGCTGATCCCGTAGGCAAAGCCTTAGACCACTCGGCTACTGGGGAAGATTTGAAATATGGTGCCTAATGTGTCATTTATCCTCGTGGGCGAGGCCAAGCAATCAACATCAGCTGTAAGTTGGCGGTAGTAATGCATCTCATCCAGGTTTTCGCTGAAGAATAAAAAATGCTTTATCCTCTTCATTTTCCATGATATCTAGAGCATTACATAAAGCAGTGTCGAATAACACGTCGATTTTTGCCGTAAAATCAGCTCCAAATTCTCTTGAACCAGCGATCGACGACTAGCATTTTTTGATACGCACCTCCACTCCTCTTAAAAATGTAAACATTTTTAAAAACATGGACAATATGTATCACAGGGATTTTACATTTTTCATTCCATATTGGAATTACCAGATCAGAGGTTTTCCACGCACTGCCGTTGACATTCATGTGCATTGTGCAAACACTTCACATGATACAAAAACACTTGGAGCACTTCCCGAATTTAGGGCAATTTTCTTTCATCAAATTTTTCTTCAACTTTTCCAATTAAATTTACACTAATCGCATTTGATCACGTAAAAGGTTTACTATTCGACAACATCGCACATATCTTTTTAATTAGTCAAATACCAGTGGTTTCCGGTACCTCCGGTAGGTGAGAATTTTCTGTTTTGATGATCAACAGGTATGTTGACAATAGCAGTTTTTATTTCCCAGAGATTTTCAGGGCTGTTCTGTGGTTACGGCAAAGTTTCCCCACTTACGCTCCTAATCGTACAAACTACTTATGTATTTGTCACTCTTTTCATCACTTCCTTGTATGGCTCATATTTCCTCATCTATATTGAAAAAGTATAATGCATTATCATTATGGATTGAAAATGTGGATGCTTTTCCACCGGATATCCCCCTCCCACCCTACCGTCCGTTCCTCTACGCCGGTGTAATGCGGCGATGCGCAACCCTGCCCGCGCGCGCGCTCAGCGGCCGGCGGCCGCGGCGCGCCCCTAGCCTCACGTCGTCATTGGGCCGTTTGTGAACTTACGCTTCAAGATACGCCAAAACGGACGAAATTTCCGTCCTTAGGACCGTAACTTGCAATTTTCCTTCAGAATTGATATGTCGTTTGCCAAAATTTTTGAATTTTGGGTTTAGGCTCTTTAGGCCCTTTGAGGCACGGGTTAACATTTTTTAAAATTTTTTTCCTTTTCGGAGGTTCATTTAGAGACTACATAGAAACTTTTTAGGGGTTGACCAACTTGATTTTCGCAAAACTCAAAAATAAGCTACACCCTATAGTACGTGTGCCAAAATTGGCATCATTTCGAAAAGAACAGCAGTAAGGCTACTTTATTTTGCCGGAACGCAGTATTTCCTTCTATCAAATGCAAATTGTCACTGTTTCCTGCCAAATTCTAACCCTAACTTACTTATCATCAGCACAATCTCTATGATTTATTTTTTTTTGTTGAAAATAACTGACAAATAAAAACTAGCCAAAGTACGAATTTAAGCATTCTAATATACATTTTCTATTCAAAGGGACCCTGCACACCTCTTATAGGAAGCTGCACCATGATCAAAAGCTAATTGACTTATGTCATTCGATTCTCCTCAAGATGCTGATCAAAAGTTATAATTGTGCCAACTTTCTACGATGCACCATTTTCGCAAAAAACCTATGAATAAAAAAGAACAAAGCATTTGAGAACAAGCCCGATGTGAATACTTAAGGAAAAAACGTAGCGAGTGTCCGTCTTCTTATCTGTACCTGCCGACTCAGGGGCTATCTCCCTCCCGCACTCGCCCGGTAGACGTTCAGACTTTCCTGTTCTTATGCTCCTCAAGCATCTGATTTGGACGGTGGTCGAGAAAACGGCGTGCGGAATCCGAGATAAGACTGCCGCTCGGTGCGGGAGTCCCCATGATTTCCTTGTTGACACACAGCCGCTTGTCAATCGAGCACTGAAATGAGGAATCTTTCTGGCTTTTTATCACCGAATAATTGAATCTTCTCATAAGTTT